CCACCAGGCCAGGCCAAGGGGCCCCCCCTGCCAGAGAGACCTCACTCACTCCACAGATCCCTTTCAAGCCATGATGCCACCCCAGGTGTGGCCAGTCAGGGAGGGACTGCGGGAGGTTGGCTCCAAGGGTTGTCTGGTCCATCTCGCCCAGTCCTGCCCCACCGGCCACTTTCTAATTAATTTCCTTTCAATGTGCCTGAATCCATGAGATACCTTTCAAGCCATGATGCCACCCCAGGTGTGGCCAGTCAGGGAGGGACTGCGGGAGGTTGGCTCCAAGGGTTGTCTGGTCCATCTCGCCCAGTCCTGCCCCACCGGCCACTTTCTAATTAATTTCCTTTCAATGTGCCTGAATCCATGCACTGGGTCGCTAGTAGCTATATAAAATTTTAAAGCCATGTCATACAAATGGTGGCAGTAATAGCATATATTTTCCTTCTCCTTATTGCGATCTATCATTTAATGAATTCCAAAATAAGAAAATATCAGATTCTCTTCATGCCACAGTAAAGCATCACTAGGCATAAAAGAGCATGTTTTTCTGAGCTGATGATCTCCCAATTCAACCAAATCCATGACTTTTTCAGTGATGCTGAAATACACATATTATTCTAAAGACACAGATAACACCTCCATTTTGGGTGCATTTTTACAAAATCTCAAAAGTGAACACAAGTGCTTTTTTCTCATAGAAGAAAGCTGCTATTTTTAAGTATTTTACTTTTGGGTGTTATCTGCTGCGATATTTTTGTTGTTGCTACCAGAAAAATACAAATATAATTGAGGGAAGAACTCCAAATCGGGGGGTCATAGTTAAAGAAAGTGGCTGCCCAGTGCTTGCTCCAGTGCTGGGTGGAAGAGGTGCTCTATTGGGTCCCATTGGAGCTTTCAGGGGGCCGTTTAGAAGAGGAGCTCCTGAACAAAGAGCACTCAGAGAAGAAGCTGAGGCCTTGAGCTGAGTCTCTGATCTATTTCCAACTTGCTGGGGCAAGATCAGGAGCAATTATGCTCTGTGCTATTCTCCCCGGCTCAGTCTCCCACTTCACCTGCGACCACTTCACTTGAGACTCTTTCACCTGTGATGCCTTCACCTTTCCTCATGGCTTTAGGGCAGTGGTTCTCAGCCTTGGCTGCACATTAGAATCACCTGGGAATCGTTTTAAACTCCTGACTTCTGGGGCTCATCCTCCGGAAATTATGTTTCTTTGTTACTAATGTTGTGGCCCACCCCATAACAAAGAAACAGAATTTCCGGAGGATGAGGCCCAGAACTCAGGATTTTGAAAAGATTCCCAGGTGATTCTAATGTGCAGCCAAGGTTGAGAACCACTGGCCTAGATCATTTACCTGCTTATCTTACCATCCTCCCTCCACTAGTCTCTGAGATGTTTTAGAGAAGGGAAAAGGAGGCACAGATTGG